TGATATTCGACAAATTATGTCAAATCAATACGTGTTTGACAAGCATTTTAATTTCACATGTCAAGGGCCTAAGCTGCCGAGCCTATTCTTAAGACATCATTTGTAGTAGACTGAAAGAGGTAAAAATAAAGACACCCCCGTAATGCTCTTTAGGCATCTAATTTTAAGATTATGGCTTAAGGCGTCTAATTTCGATCTTGTTCAGAAAAATCACACTAATATTATAAATGTAAAAGTTTCATTCTTTAGATGTTTGTTCGTCAATCACACTGAAACTACTGAACGGATTTTGATGACATTTGGTATAAAAGGAGGGTATGGGCTGACTTAGGTGATAGGAGGTAATACCTTTTATCCCAATTAAATACTCCTATGGGATATATAACAGGAACATCATTCCCTCACCCCCTATTACATGGGACTCATAACATAAATAGTGAAAAGTGGGTGTTACACTGTATAGTGGCATTAAGTGCCGTAATGTGCACCTCTGCCTACCCCTTCCTAAAAGGCGTGATATTATGTTATGTTATGTCATATTCTACGAGGTGGGGAGAAAAAGCTAGTTATATATAAATAGAACTTTAATCTCAACAACACCCATGGTCATTAAGATGGGACTGGGATGCCGTCTCCTCCTTTTGCGAAGCAGTCATGCTAGCTAAGGAGGAGGCGGGACGCGTGAGGCAGCGAAGCGCTGCCTCCTCGCAACCCAGCCATCGCGAAGGACACACCGGGCGTCGGGGATCGCGGGACGATCTCCGGCCACCGTAAGCGCGGGCCTGCGGACGGCGAGCATGGGTGGCTCCCCGTCCGACCAGAAACAGACCCGAGCGTACGGCGCGTCGCGTTCCGCGCGCGCCTCAAAGAGCCATCAGACCACCACAGATGGGGCCCAATAGGGCCGATGCCGATTCGGAGTCGCGGAGAACCTAACGGGTAACCGGGGCTCCGGCTCGACGTGCAGGAGAAGGAACGGGGTGGTTTTTAGTCAGTAAGAGTCTGACACTCCCTCCCGCCTCACCCAGGCAGGGGGCAGTCATTCGATGATTTTCCCCCCTTAAAAAAAAAAAAAAAAAAAAAAAAATGGTCATTAAGATAGTCAGTAGGTAGTATAAATAAAACTGGCAACGACCAACCAACTCCCAACTTAACGAGGATTCGAACTTAAAACTCTATAAAGTTTAAAGTAAAATGGAATAAAACTTTAGTTCAGATAATGATAGTAGGAGAAAATTTGGCATCGACCGAGAAACGTCTTAATTAAGCTAAAAGAACTAATTTAATGATAAGATCCGTAAGAGGTAATTATAATTAAAAGGAAAAAAGCGATGTAACGATGATTAATTTTGTTTTATTAATTAAATATTAGATTGGTTCAGTAGGTACGGATGTACAGAGAAGTTAATAGCTTTAAAAATATTAAGGACACTTACTGGATACGTTTTGGAGTATTTTATGATTATTGAAAGCGTGTGTCGTTTCTAAGTTGAAGATACAATTTCTAACATGGGACTTTATTATGGTATAAGCCGGTAAACGAGCAGAAGGATCACCTGATGGTAAGCAATTGGCGCCGCCCATGGACACCCGGTACACCAGAGGCGGTACCGGCCTTTCGAGGAATAGGATTTTCAGGAATGATGTTGAGAATTCGGGGATTAGTGAGATGGGGAAGCGGAGCAGGGGGGGGGTAGTTGAATACTCCGGTAACCTCAATGACACAACAAAACACAACATAAGCGTTGTTTCACGTCGGTTTTCTGTGAGGCTGTAGTATCACTCCGGTCGAGCCGGCCCGTTCGTGTCGATACATAGCTCTTCCACACTTCAATTATTGACATGTAAAACATATGAAACGTGATAATGTTTATTATTGTTTTATCAATGGCCATTATGTTTTTGAGACTAGCATCCAAGTTACTGTAAAAAACCACAACTTAGACGGACTTATCGTACGAAAAAATCTATGTAATTTCAGCCCTTTACACACACAACGCATTCATACACAATGCAACGATTACATCGACCCACGTACCCAAACTGACTCATAAACTTCCGAAGCATATCTGCATTGCTAATGGGAGCCTATCACTCCGCCGATTGGAAGGATTAACACGAAAACAGTTCGACCGAAATCTGCCCATTCGTATTCCTTGTACCACTATTCTCTGGAGCATCGAAGTTCGAAATTTCTAGGCCCAATTAATGAGGCGATTAAAGTCAAATTTGAGTTTAAGACGAGACAGGCCAATTTGGACGTATACAGATCTATGCGGTAAGTAGATTTGGGTTTATCACGGTTTTAAGGATTAGGAAGTATTTGAATATTGCCTCTGCCTACCTACCTATATATAAATTAATAATATGTCTGTTTGTCTGCTTGTTTTATAGATCGATGTGCGATGGAGACAACTAATGCTCGGGGTTTCTTTGCGCGGCACAATCCGAAATAAGAAAAATCGCTAAAGAATTAGAGTTACCGACATATATGGGCCAAGAAAGTCCTTGAGTGGAGACCTATGTCTTAAAGTTCTTATTCTATGCGAACCAAGTTATGTAATAAATTATTTCCTAGCATATTTATTTAAGACCTAAGCTTCAAAACAAACAATTATAATTAAATTGAGTTTGTAATTAAATGGTTCAAATTTCAGTTCATTAGTAAATAGTATTAGTTCGATTTAATGAGATGATTGAGCTAAATTGGAGTGCGCAACTCCGGAGTACGGTTACAAAATATTGATACAAATTACCTATGTAAATAGTTTTAGCAATTACGTAATGTAAATATCTATTCAGGCTTCAAATTTGAATAATTTTACATTTTAAACAATGTGTTCAAATCTATCGTATTTGTTACCTACAGTTTGCCAGTATACCTATTGAACTTTTTCGGTTTTTGATCATTCCCAGCGGCAATTAGGCTAACTAAGGACACGGTCTGCCTTTGTAGAATACAGATATGTATGTAAAAAATCAAAGCAATTTTCACGACGCATTTTACGCTAGCGTTGGTTGCGATTTAGTGGCTACCGCTGCAATGGCGGGCTCGGGAGAAAATCGTGCCGTGAGTCCTGAGCCTTAAGGTGCTTAATACTGGGCCCGGTACATATTAGTAGATTCATCCTTCTTGCATAGGTTTTCTTGTTATAATATAACTGGTGTGAAACTACAGTTGGTGAGTGGGCTTTGAACTCTTATGGAAATTAATAGTTATGCGTCTGATACAGAAATTAGTGTCGTTACAACAATTTAAAAAATAACAAAAATTGTGTTTATGACTTTTCCCTCTGCTTACTTCCTTACTTCCTTAGGGAATAACATACGTGACGCCATTTGTTGATTGCCGTTAGTTGATCGAAGTTCAGATATATTCCCAGTTTGAATTAAGTTCAATTGAGTTTGAATTCAAAGTTAACAGTACTCGCTCCAACTCTGGTTTCTATGATATGAAGCTAGTTTAACGTGTAGGTACTAAAAAGGATATTATAGGGTATTTGTAAGAAGAAAAATGTAAGTAATTTTATTAGAACTTCTCGTCGAGTACCGTCATTATAGACACAATTATAGAACAAGAGGTTGCGGTCACCGGTGACCGCTTGGTGTTTGACAGTTTAAGGAATTATTCGTTCAACATCATTACCTACTTAATTTTGTTAAAACAAAAAAGAAACTATACCTACAGTTGAATAGGTCGACTATGAAAAAAAATATCTATTTTCTTTTCGCTTAATACGGGCTTATCAAAATTAAACCTTACCATTCAAAACACACAGCGCAATTTTGCACGCAACAGAAATTTTCGCTCAGAATAATATTATAGAACAAATAATATTTTGACCTTTCTATTCGCAAATTAACTTATTCCATCCGATTGAATCTAATACAATTGTCTTGACTTACTGAAATAATTAATTGCAAGATGGCTGAAGGTGAAAAGGCAAGGAAAATTTTCGAACCTTGTCTTTGACTACTTAATAATGGTTAATAATCATTTATCTATTAATGATATCATACTCTTATTTGTTAACAGAAATAGATCAGCAATCAGTAGAATAGGTCCTGGGTACTTAGTTATTGAACAATTTAAGAGCTAGACCTACTAAAGCCTCGCGAGACGATCTCTGGCTACCGTAAGCACGGGCCTGCGTACGGCGAGCATGGGTAGCTGGCCGCCGACCAGAACCAGATCCAAGCGTACGACGCGTCGCATTCCGCGCGCGCCTCAAAAAGCCATCAGAGTACCACGGATGGGGCCCGATACGGAGTCGCAGAAAACGTAAAAGGTTACCAGGGCTACGGCTCGAAGTGCAGGATTAGGAACGGGGTGGTTTTTGTCAGTGAGAGTCTGAAGTAACTGGATGATTTTCCCCCTTCAAAAAAAGACCTACTAAAGCCTAACAAGGTTCTGGTAACTCAAACTCTCAAGACTGTCTGTGATTTATAGGAAAACATGCCATATGTTCGTATGTATAAAGAATAGAATAGGTTATTTAGGTGTACATGTGTTCATAAGAAAAGAAAGAAGTAAGTTTCCAAATGTCTATTCACCCACACAATCGTCTACTTATATCGATAAGAAAAGTTTCGATTATTCCACTAAGTTCATCGATTTGGTTCAGCTACAGCAGATTGTTATTACCTGTTTCTTTCTTTTGGTTCACGAAATATACTAGTTTAGAGTTTTCCAAAATGAAGGTTGGTATCTATTTTTCTAAAAATAGTGTCCAGTAACTTCATGTTGAAATTATATAATTTTATACTTTATTCCGTAAAAATAGCTTCTCATTTGCAACTGCTGCTGAGATTTTACTTAGTTCTAATACACATTTTGAATTAAACTTTTCACGTCAAACTTATTCTAGTAAAAACAGTAAAAACAGCTTGTTAAAAGTCAACTTTTATCACCACTGTATGCACATAAAAATGAATCGTGTCATATAACTTTGTGGACCGTAAAATAAGTTATAATAAAGTTTAAACTTGTTTGCACCCACCTGCAAATTGACGTACGGCGCGTCAGCCATGACGGTTGGGACTATGAATCCTCCTTCGCCTGTCGACATGTCGATGTCCTGACTATAGATATCGGTTTTGTCGTCGTATAGCTTCACACGGACTCGCACTCGTTTCTCCGTACTCATTGCCTCGACCTGTTGAAACAAAGGAAATATTATTACTTATAAAACAAAAGTATTGAAAAAAAAAAACTAGTAATTTTCTCAGAACGAATGAGAATTCAACCTTTAAGGTGTTGTCAGGAAATAAAGGTATTTTTATTATGTTAAGTCATAATGTCACAGTTCTACTTATTTTAGGAAAATCTCGTTCTAATCTCACTTCGTAATTTTTACTCACTAAAAGCATTAGTATGGACTCGTCTTTCCTTCCAATGGAGACTTAGCTCGATCGATCTGATCTCATTAAAATTTTTACTAGTACTACAAAGCATTCATTACAAAATATAATACATCACCTACACACCACATTTATCTCTAACACCGATCCGAATGTACACCCTACCCCACAATGAGAGCGATATTGTGACGTCAACTTAAGTCTTAATTAAGCCATTAAGTTTACGAATCCAACCTGGCTTTACTCCAAAACCTGTGCCGACAGGGGTACAGATATGAAATACTGAGATAATTAAACATGATTAATATTTGTTAAGCAAATTGTATAAGAGCAACTGAGACTGTTTTCGTTTTTTATTAATGTTTTGTAATTAAGAAAGAGAGTCGTAAAAATTCTTTGTGTTATGTCTTCATTAGTGTTTTGTGAAAATTTGTCGTTTTGGTTGTGTCGTTTTTAACTTATCTGTTAGTAGACTAGGTACTGCTTAGCGAAGTTAGCAATTAAATAAAAACAGATTATCGAGTACGAAGTAACCATGAATTCTCGATCTATCCTACTATCTATACATTTTATTTTGGAAAATTCTCTTCTTGCATTGTGTTTTTTTTGTGTTTCAATTAAAACATTTTATACAGTTTATTTTAAAGAATTTATATTTCTGTCTTCACAAAGGGAATGTCAACCGCCATGACTGTTTATTGAAAAAAAATAAAAAATAAAACGAATACCAGGAGTTTTTGCTTCTGTAGCAGAGTAAACTGGGCTTCAAAGTGGGCGAGGATATTTTTTTTTATTTAATTAAATGCGAAGTGGTACATATATAAATTTCAACCGTGCGTGTTTGAATAAAGATCTATTTTAATAAATAGATTTTCATTCTATAGCTAATGCTATACATAATGCTATAAATAGCTAATGCTATTTATCAAGGATTTGGTATTAATACCACTTGTGAGGCCCATTCGGACTCAGCTTCTTCGATGATGTCATCCTCGAGCATCTTGTCAATCACTTTCCTGATGATTTCCTTCTTCGAGGGTGTACCTCTGTAAGGCAGACTTGCAATTGGCGCGGTGGCGCGGCGTTGAACGAGCTACATTTTCGCGGATACGGCGATGTAGTAGACCATAGGTCATATCTAATTGTACCGCCTCCGAGAGAGAACAAGGTGGCAGCTGCGCGAACAATGCTCTTAGGTGGCAAACAAATTAATCTGTAGTTTCGTCGAGACGATGTTCTCGATCAAAAACCTTTCGATAACGTTTTGACGGCGGCAGCCTTGGTCCGAATGTTTGTTTTAAATCGTCGAAAGTCGCTGACCAAGTGACGGTGCAGTCTTTTACACCCTGCCACCAGGTGGCTGCAATTCCCGTCAAGAACATTGATAAGCCACGAAGTGCATTGCTATCATCCACTTGAACACATTCCTTGTAAGTTTCTATGGCGTCTATAAAGGCCAAGATGTCGCTGGATTTCTCGCCATCGAAGCGAGCGGAGTGCCACAATAAAATTATGTTGGCGTACTTTTTTTTTTTAAGGGGGGAAAATCATCGAATGACTGCTCCCGCCTGGGTGAGGCGGGAGGGAGTGTCAGACTCTTACTGACTAAAAACCACCCCGTTCCTTCTCCTGCACGTCGAGCCGGAGCGCCGGTTACCCGTTAGGTTCTACGCGACTCCGAATCGGCATCGGAAAAAGACGGTACCATTAGAGTCTGCGCCGATTTTAAACTAACCCTAAATAAAGTGTTAGAAGTCGACCGTTATCCATTACCTAAAGTAGAAGATCTTTTGTCGCGTTTACACGGAGGAGAAAGATTTAGTAAAATAGACTTGTCACAGGCATACGCTCAGTTTGAGCTGGATGATAGTGAAACAAGTGAAACAAGTGAAACAAGTGAAACAAGTGAATTTATTTCTGCAAATAGGCTACAAGGCAGCACTTTTACACGTCAATTTTATCAAGCGAACGATGAGGTCGACATTTCCTAACTGACTACTCTGAGAAGAAATGCCGAAACAAACTCAGAGGTCTGTCTCTTTTAAAGTCCAGACAATATGTATAACAGATTATGTGTGAGAACCGTGCCAGTTCTTTCTGTAGTGGGCTTTTGAGGAAAGAACCACAACAGTTTGAGCGGACCCGTTCTGAAGGCAGTACGCATGTGTCGGTTTACAGTCAGCTCAATTAACAGGTGAGGCTGACTGATTCGACGAACAATACCAACCTAAAGAACATTTGCGTGGGTCGCACAAATACTCAAACTGTCAGAAAAAGGGTAATTAGAAAAGAAATGGTGAGGCAAAGTCTCGCACGGTCCTAGCACTAACAATTGTTAAATAAAAAGTAAATGTCAAGTTAGAACAACATATGAAAAACAATGTCACATTAAAACAATAATGTCAAATTGCATATAAAAAAAGAAATGTAACTATATGTTACAAACATGTCAACATGACCTGTGTGGACGTTACAGCAGCTTATTCCCAAGCCAGACTATCATCTAGGTAGTCTTTTATTTTATAATAAGCTTTACTATAAAATTTATCTTTAATGACATTTTTAAATTTATTTAGACTCAAATTTTGGATATGGCTGGGAATCTTATTGTAAAAGCGTATACTCTGACATCTAAACGAACCACTTATTTTCTTTAGTCTAGTAGTGGGAACAACATATTTGTCTTTATTTCTCGTGTTTATATTATGTATATCACTATGTTTTTTAAATAAACTTTTGTTTTTATGAGCATATACTAAATTTTCATAAATGTATTGAGAAGCAACCGTCATTATATTAATTTCTTTAAATAGTTCCCTGAGAGAGTACCTCGGACTAAGATTATAAATTGATCGAATGGCCCTCTTCTGCAGAACAAAGATAGATTGAATGTCAGCAGCATTCCCCCATAAGAGAATACCATATGACATAACACTATGAAAATAACTAAAGTATACTAATCGCGCTGTATCTACATCGGTTAGATTTCTAATTTTTTTAACGGCATATGGAAACGCGAAACGCACAGGGGCGAGCATGTTGGCGTACTTACAGACTCACGATGACTTAGCCTGTCAATAAGCAGCAGTAGCTGCTCGGTTGCCATGGCGATCGGAGCTGCGGCGGCGCCAGCAGCCGGCTGTAGTTCCACCACAACCACTTCTGCAGCCGAAGTGTCATTCCCGCGCGGACATGACTAGTCCGGCGCGGGCGCTTGGAGCAGCGCTTCCGCCTTAACGGAGGCATCAGCGACAAAAGGGCTCGCATTACGCGATCTTGTTAGCACTATTGTAAAAATAGTTCACTATTTATTCAACACAACGTCTTAAAACTTAGTAAGGTTCCACTTAAGATTGTTTATAACGACACACGAACTGTAATAATGAAGTCCACACAGTCCCAAGAAAAGTCTAAAATCACTAAATTAAACAATCACCATGTTAACTAAACACGAACTTCGACTGCTTAGAACTGTGTACGTTACGATAACGATCGTCCAAAATGATTTACGTGACAAAACACTAAACAGTTTGTAAAAATCACTATGATTATTTTAGTCTAGGTTCAGGTATAACTAAGTACCTACCTATGTCAAAACCTCACTACAGTCACTTTACAAGTCTGTACCTACACACTTACACAGTCACAGCAAATGTTCACACAATCTAGGTTCAAGAATAATTTATTCTCGATACGAAACCTAGAAGGTAGGTATACGAAAGTCCACGAATGACTGTAGGTTATAATGCTAAATATTTTTGAGACAATTCTTATATTCTTTTATACAGTAACCGGTACTTCGAAAATGTTCACACAACACAGGTTTAGAAGTTTCTGGAATACGAAACCGAAAGTTCGTTATTTACGTATTGAAGTTATAAACTAATAACTTTTATACGACGACTGCTCGAATACCTAGTACTTATAACCAACTAATAGGTAGGTAGTTAATGTCTGAGCTGAATAACCTAGATTCAGGTAATAGGTACAGACCCGACACAAAATCTTTCACGGTTACTGTTCGAAAGTCGAAACACATACAAAATGTCTGCCGGCGTAGGTACGTACACTATCTATATTTAGGTTTTAGGTACCCGGTACGAAATATAGACAAATAGATACCTACACACTACATACACTGGCTGTCTGTGACGAATCTATGTTCAGGTCTATTACACACTACCCGATCCAAAACATACGGTGAGTTTCTCGCAAAACAACGTAGGTACTTAGGTTCAGGTATTACGTACCCGATACAAAACCTAGGTAATCACTACCTACGCGCGATTGACTAGTTACTATTTGAAATCACACTACACACACACGCGAATTCACATAATTAAAATGGTTTTAATGCAAGTTCGTACACGTTCTGCTCCACTTTGGGCTGCCAGTTATAGGTTGAGTGAGTGAAATAACGAACGACACATAGGGGAAACGCAACTTATATTGAACTAATTACATATGGAGCACAAAATAAACGGAATAATACATAGAACTTGCATGAATATAACAAAGATAAAACCGTTACTGATCAAAATGTGAATTGTGAATTAGTCGGTGTCGGCGCTCGGCTCAACCGCGCTCGGTTTAATAGTTTTCGCGTCACTGACTAGAGCTGCGGCGCGGGCGCGGACTCGTGCCGAGCGTCGAGCTAGAGATGGGTGCGCAACGTTACGTTAGTCTTACTAATGCGCGTTATACTATGTTCATTACGGTGAATCTAGGATACTAATGGTAAAAAAATATATTTTGAGCCTAAATAAGACTGTAAGAAAATGTCAAATCTTTCCATTATAAAATATCTTAGTGTAGATACGACTCTACCCAAATCAACTCAATTTTAATTATTACTTTTCACGCCTTTTTCAACTATTCCTATTTTTACAACTGTAGAATATAGAATATATTACGATTTCATAATCCGCTGTCACTAAGGCCGAAAACAGCAAACAGAAAGAAAAGTGAGCGTCGATATGAAAGCTGTTCGTTAGGCTCCCTGTAATTTATTATATTGTTCTCTCGCCGACAACGCCAGGAGATAAACGTGGATGCGAATTAGGTATTATTATATTTTTTTTATAATTATTTAATTCAGTAAATGAATAAGGCAAGAAGAAAAATGTATTGCAGTGTTAAAATATAGTGTCGTTCATTTATTAATTTTTATATTTTAGCAATATTTTAACATCTTGGAATTTGACCAACTATTTGATTTTGATTTGATTTAGTCGTGTATTTCGAAAAAAATAACTTTGTTGCTCAACTGATTTATTTAGTTATTTCTTAATACAACAAATGTGTTCAGGTGGACTTAATGCCTTGGGCATTGTGTTACATTACCTTTCTGATTAATTGTTGTCATCTTAACTGATCAATCTTATCTGTTTTATAACTTTTATATTAGCTTAATCATACTTTGAAATTGCTTATTAGATACTGTTCACATTATAACCATAAAATGTATTGAACCACAAAATATAAACCATTTAACCAGCTGTTCTTTCTGAAATATTCTACAGCTAGTTTTGATTTATGAAAGACATCGTGCTGGCTGTATCCCAGCCGTTGAGTCCCGGAAGACATTGAATGGCGAGGTTATAAAGAGTAAATACTTATAGTGCATCGTATCGGGGGGAAATTACTACATCAAGGCAAACAAACTCCTTTGTGGACAAAGTGGGTTCGATATTATGGAGTAGGTCGGCCGATAGAGGTAGTTTGAGCTGGTTTATGCTTTAGGCATTTATTGCTGTACGCTTTTAAATTTTAATAGAATATAGCAGTTCTAATGCAAGTAGCGAGGTACCTATATTTTAGCTTTTGTTGAGTAAAAGAACTTTTTGAATGAATGTGTTATGAAAAAACACCCAAATATCCTTACTTCCTTATCCTTATCCTTATACTATACTAATATTATAAATCGGAAAGTGAGTTTGTTTGTTTGTTTGTTTGTTCCACTTTCACGCCGTAACTACTAAACCGATTGCTTTGAATTTTTACAGACGTAAAGTTAGAAGTCTGGATTAAATAATAGGGTACTTTTTATCCCGGAAAAATGTGATATTCCCGAGGGAAAACAAAAGTATTGGTATAGATGGCGCTGTGTGTATTGGTATATGTCACATAGGCTTCTGCCGCGGGTAAAGATAGTATAATTATATAAGAAAGATGTTTTTCATTATGTTGAATGAAATAAAAGATCTCATGGTTTTAGAGCCATAGCAGTATAGGTATTTAATCGGTAGACGATGAAAGATGATTCAATTCCTTATGATAACATCTCATCAACAATTCAACATCATCAACAACGCCTATTATTCCCGAAAGTGCACACTACGGCACTTAATGCCACTGTACAATGTAACACCTACTTTTCACTATTTATGTTATGAATCCCATGTAATAGAAGGTGAGCTTATTGCCATATGTCGGACACAATTCCAGTCTCCGTGCTACTACTGAGATATTTTTAAAACCCAGTAATACTTTTCCCGACGCATGAATCGAACCTGAGACCCCTTAACCGGCAGTCGGCAATCGTCGACCACTCGACCAACGAGGCAGTCGTATTTCAAAACATAACACTCTTAACTCGTCGAGTACCGGTTTTGTAGACACAATTATAGAACAATAGGTTGCGGTCACCGGTGACCGCTTGGTGTTCGACAGTTTAATATATATCAACACTCAAAACAAATACTCAGCAGACATGTCCATGTTAACATCAACCTCCCTATTGTCTAAAGCCTTAGATAAAGGGAGCTATCAAAAGTTCCACCGGAATGAGCTGACGAGCGGCTATTTGCTACAATTCACGCATTTCTGGCTATACAACTTCAACGAAATGGCGCAATGAAAAATAATATGAATTATCGCCAGTCTAGGAGACGGGCACTATGTTGCGGTAATAATGTTTGAAGAAACTATTGCTTGACGGTTTTTAGGGTTTTCGTGACATATTGGTGGTCCAGTGTCATGTTTATTGCAATCAATATTGACTTACTGTATTACCTCTTGGGGTGGTACGGATAAGACTCTACTGCTTTCCACTGAAAGAGCCCAAAGAGCGATTCTCAAGGTGTCTACTGGCCGATCTTTTCTTTACCCCACTAACCTTCTATATAGTTCTTGTAAAGTACTAACAGTCCGGCAGCTTTTTATTATGAGCACTGTACTAAAACAGCATGCGGCTTTTCCATACATTCCTGGGATAACCGAAAAACGGCAAAGAGATATTGTTTGCCCAACCAAAAGTACAAAGCACGCTTTTATTACCAAATTTTTTGTATTTCTTGGACCACTCCTATACAATAGACTAAATGCAACGTTATGGATTTATCCCCATAGCATCCGTAACTGTAGGAAAATTCTATAGGAAGCCCTTCAAGACATGTCCTATGAAGACACAGAGAAGTTATTATTAGTTCCTAAATAATACTTAAAGTAAGCTCCTAATCTCTTATTTATATACTACATACATACTCTTAAATACATATTAAGCATAGAATTTAAGTATTACTTTATATCAGTATGCTTACATATAATTAAATATTGTAATAATTTACCCTAACTTATTAGCATTTAAGTACTAGTGATTATATAACATTGTTTACTACTATTACCTAACCTCGCCTGAAACACAGGATTTCCTAGTTCAGGCACCTTATATTGTGAACTTTATTTAACTTTAAGCAAAACTGTACATTTCTAGATCATTATGTTTGAAAATAAATTTTATTTTTATTTCTTTATTTTATATTGCATTTATTTTTTGGTATAATAGTTTAGGTAAAAGTTTATACGTATCCTCCCTAGTTAAATTATAGGTATCTTTTTCAATTAAAGCACGCCTGTTAGGTTCTGTCAATTGTTCTTCGATTCAAAGGAGAGGGGGACTTCTGGGCCCAGCAGTTAACTACGTGAAATATGTCTCAAAAAAACCGTTACATTTTTCTAAAGAAAACTACAAAATATGGTACCAGGATTCTACCCAGGAAGCGAGAAAACTTAAATTAAGATAATAAGACTAAATAATCTATTAAATAAGCCCTAGTCATCGATTATTATTAAATCGTTAAAATCTGAGAATATTTGGCTCATCTTTTTTTTGTTGTGTTTGTTATTGTCAAGAGCGCTTGCTCGCTTGATTGCGCGTATGATGTTGCGGGTAGAAGCTAATATGTATATGAATATCAATTCATTAAGGTTTTATGAAATCGATTTAATCAATTATAGCGTATTTTTTTTCTGACAACCCTTGTTGGCGGTTGGTTGCGTTTGATTGATAATGACTGACAGATGTACTTGTTTGTTTAGTTTCATTCTGAGTGCGCATGTATTTTCCTTGTTTTATTGTTTAAACCCACAACCTCGGCTTTGCAAATTATAACGGACTATTCGACGGATCTTGCCACTCTGAATTACCTGACTATCTATTTTGGACAACTGTTACACCTATCAATCGATAGGTGTAACAGTTGTCCAAACAGTTATCCAATCGGATATCGACGTCATGGATCGCTGTATAAATTGTACGATTGCGATTTGTCGCAGTAATCCTATTGGGAGAAAAGTCTTGGAGAATGAGGCGATTTTAACAGTTATTTGTCAGTGGGGAAGTGAGTGATTCAAAAGTATTTCAGAAATTACACAAAAAATCACAACGTTATACTATAACCTAACTTTTACTATAATTCAGATAACTTGGTTTCTAGAAAACCAAATTTTACCAAATTCTTAGTTAAGCCTTGATATTATATCCTCTTACATATAAGGCTAATTTCATTTAGTTAACACCTGGGCCCAGGAATCTATGGAGCACTTCCCTTCTCCTTTCCACCGCTATTAAAAATTGAAATTCACAAAATTCACAAATTAATAAGGCGTCAATATACATACGCAACGTGCCACTGCTGTCAGGCGCTCGAGATAGTTATATTCGGCTCAGTGTTTAACTCAAATAAACTATGTGTTCAAACGTACCCTTCCAACAAAAGGAAGTCCAGGCTTGTATCGTCGTCTCATGCTGTCAGCGAATCTCAGTTCCACGTAGTGCTGTTCAGCTGCCGGAGCTGCAGCGGCTGTGTTGCCCACTCCGTTGCCAACAGTGATGTCCACTCGAGCAGATCCTCCGCCGCAACGCGCTTCAATTCGCCAAGTTCCTGATCGAGCTCCCGTCGCCAGTATCGCACTGAGCTTACGCACTCCTGGGGACAAAAAGAGTAAACATTTATTGATTTTGTATGTGAGCCTTGAGACATGTTATTTCGTATAGTTTGAGGATGTTTTTGTGTTAAATTTAATGGAGTGTCAAATAATAAGCGTACTTTTGCAAACAACTGACTT